TGCAATCTCCGTCCTTGGAGATACTTAGAACTCAACCAAGTGTGTCTCTGAACAAGTAACAGGGTAAGTCCCTGGCTGGACTGGATGATCTCCAGAGCTTCCTTCCAACCTAAATTTTTCTATGATCCTATGATTATGACTACATAAAGACGTCTTCCACATTCACATGGATCATGTAATGTCTCTATGTGAGCTCATATCAGTCCCTTGATGTCATAATATCAGTCTTGTGGGGTCATTTCTGTTCCTATTTTATACTATGTCAATCCGGACAGAGACTGAAAATTTTTAAGTCAGAACAGTGTGTTTGCTGACGTACTCTAAGCATGACCATGGTCATATGTTAAATGCTTATTAGACTAATTGGTTTTTTTGGAGAGCTTACCTAATACAGCTTGATAACAAGGTTCCTAATCTTTCACAGCAAATGTAGCTTTATAACTAATAAAACTAGTGCCACCTGTATTATGGAAATTTTCAACATTTTTGACTTATCTAGATGGCCTCTTATTCTAGTGGAGTTACTTTGGAAGTGTCTTGGAATATGTATATCAGTTATATATGTGGCTTGTATGTATTTCTTCTTGGGTGAAATGAAAAATTTAATTATATGAAAAAAATGCAAATTGCTGCCAACTGTGTTAACTGTGAGAGAGTTGCATTATCTTCTAACATAAATTGTCAGCGAATTGAAGGAAAGACGTTTTGGAAGCTGATCTGATTACTGTCAGGGAAAGTGCTCAAACTCAATTGTTGGCAAATGTCCAGTACCCATCACTGAATGATCATCACCTCATCATTCAGCCTTCTCAACTGACATGCAAAACAACATCCAAATATTCATTGCACATCTGTGCTGGACAGATTATGTATTAGCAATTCAAATCATTTCAATGTACAGGCAGTTTCTGTAAAAGCGTCTGTTTGGGTGAGATGCCTTGTTGTCTGGGATGGATAATAAGGCAACTCTGTCTAATCTTGGAGAACAATCAACCCATCTTGAGAAGGTGACTGACTACGTATGCTCTTGCCCTGACAGCACTAGAACAATGGCCCCATAATGCACTTGACTCAGCTGGTAATAAAATCTACTTTTGATTAGCAGCCATGGCTTGTGTCAATCACTGCATGATGTACCATTGTCCTCTGGTCCTGAACACAGTTTATTTACAGGGAAACAAAAGCTTTTTGGATATGGCTGCTGCCCAGAGATTGCAAAATAGATTGAGCTGTCAGCCTCACACACTAGATGAAGATTAATGAGTTGTGCAGACAATAAATATGAAGCAATGACCATAAATATGCTAATAGGTATTATCCATATACACTATAATTGCTACAAAAATTAAAAAGTAGTGTGAAGGAAATAGGTCACAGGGTGACAGACAGATAATCTTGGATGCTGAAGATCTTTGGTTCAGTCAGATTCTCTACAGGTTTATTTCCTTCAATTAGACCCTTCAAAAGAGTAATTGTTTAAAAGCTGTTTGAATAATCTCTTTTGAAACAGAGGTTTATGGGAAAATGTTTATGGAAAAGTGACTTCAATGAACATGTTATTGTAATGAAAAAGGTGACTACCAAAAGCAGGCTACTCAGAGATTAATGTCTGTAATCAGCTGCCCATCTTCACCACGAGGAAAGTATCTCGAAGTGGCGCGCTAGTGAGGACTTCAAGGGAAACATATCGAAGAGACACATCAGTTTATATCCACAGACACAAGTGAGTAAGGTCATTCCCAAACAAAGTATAGAAGAGTTGCATGCACATCTGGTTGTGTTGGTTTGTTCGGTGCTTTTGGCTTAGCATGCTTTTTTTCTTTTTTTTTTTTTTAAACTGGAGCAGGGAAGGATGCCCACGGCTCAAATTTTCAGAGTACTTCCAATCAAGCCTCTGGTTTTCCAATTCCTTTCAAAGAGCACGCAGTCTAGACAGCACATGGTTTTTGACACTGAAGGATTTCATTTGAACCTGAAACGCAGAGAGTTAAACGTCAAACTATGTTAGCTACGCGTATAAGTGCTTCAGCACCTAAGGCTACTGAAATCATAGTGACACTGGAAATAAAGGCAGTCATACTCTTGGTATTCATAGCTTTGACTCTCTGTTCTCTGAGGCTTAGAAGTTCCACTGGATGCTTTTCAGATCAACTCACACGACCCAGTCTCCTCTCCTCAGATTTTCAGCTTCTGGAGTGGGGAAATTACTCAAATACTCTCCTAGATCCAACTTACTGTTACAATGTCAGGCTCAGTGATACAAGCGAGTTAATTTCTTTTTCCTTCCATTCTCAACTGGAAGTTGCATGAGTTTGGCTCTTAAATTATCACTGCTTGGATTTTTGGCAAACAGCCATAAAGACTAACAACTGTCTGAGCACCTCTGTGCCAGGCTCCCTGCAAACTCAGCTGGACATCACCTACACTTGCCTGACACCTTGGAAGTTACACTTTCTAACCAGAAATACCAGTAAAACAAAGCAAAAACCTGCAGGGGACCGTTAGGAAAACATCTCACACAAAGCTGGCGGGTGAGAGGAGAACATCTTTCTGGATGAATTGGTGGAGGGAGAGGACCTCTGGAAGCTGCAGGCTCAGGGACTGAGTTCTTGTTCCCAGTCCCACTTCAGAAGTGACACTGGGTCTTTTTAAACTGGAGGTTGTGATGTTAGTCATGTCACATGTTAACAGGGCACAGCAAGGCCCTGCCTCACCACCCCAAGCAAGGTGAGCACAGTGGACCTGGAGACGATAGGCAGGTTGCACCGACAGTACGAATCATCAGGCAAGTGTCTAGTCATGAGGCAAGTCAAGGCAGAAACTTGAGTCAACAAATCAGGTTCAGTTCTGGTGATGGTAGGCAGGGTCAGTCACAGTCCAGTGGCTGCTGAGCAACTCTGTTTTTGCTCGTCTGGATCAATGCGGTACGGCTATGATGGAGCTGCAGACAGGTGCACCTACATCATCGCTCAGGCAGGGACTGCAGGCTCAGGGGAGGGTGGCCAGGGCTGTTAAGACCTTATAGTGGACTCAGCCCTGACACAGGTACAAGAGATTGACCTTGTTTTCATTCATTTTTGTAGAAGAGATTGTCCCAAGTTTTCATAATAAACGGAAAACAAGTAAAAACAAACACCTTCCAGGTCAGAACTTCTCCATAATTTACATTTGCCACACCGCTGGAGTAACGAGAACATGAAGGTGGGCAGAGCTCAGCTGTATTTAGCACCGTGTCATCTGTGCCTACTCATATGTTCCTCACCCAACTCACTGCAACCACTTAGCAGAATTTAGAGCCACCTCCTTGCTGACTAGGTCCATGGCACACTTGTAAACAGAGGCTTCCCTTGAATCCCTCCGGTGGCTTCCCTCTCCTTATCACATGGAGTTTCTTCGCCTTGTTTTTATGAGACTACTATTAACTTCTCCTTTCCCTGCCCATTCACTGATGTTTCTGCCAATCATGAATTGCCTTGAGGCACTTCGCTTGCAATAAAACTTTTATTTTATCTAATTTTAACTATTTTTAGTTAAATGACTTTTTCTGAATCCATTATGAATTGTGTTTGAGGACTGAGTAACAGGTCACCACATATAGAGTCTTTGCAAATTTGTGAAACCTTCATCCCCTGTGGCTTTGCCAGACTTCCTCATCATTTCCTGATGGGCTGTTTAGAATATTAAATAAATGATAGTAACAAAGCACCAAAAGGTTTTAGCAGTTTTGAAGGAAGGATCTGTAGCAATATGTACAAAGAAAGTGACAATTTTGGTTTTACTGCCGCTTTGAAGAGGACCTATAGCACTAATTGTCTTATTCTTATGTGGAATTTTACTTGCATTTAAGCTGCAGCTTTCGATGCTTTATAACATAAAAAGATGTTTATAAAGATGCATCATAATTACAGAAGCCCTAATGCAAGCAGAGTAGAAAATAAAAATAACAAACATTAGAATTAACGAAAACTAACATATATGAATTAAAAAAAAATTAAATGAAAGAAAAGAGTTAGAAGAGCAGTGCTGCTCAGGAGTACATGCATCAGATTTCCCACTGCCCAGATAAATAGCACATATAAGAAGAGAGGAATGGACTTCGTATCCTTTGTTCTATAACCCACCACGTCGAAGGTATAGATATTACACAACCATGAGAATGCTGGTTTTTTTATTCTGTATATTTCCACTTTGAGAGCCACCCTTGTGGTAGTGTGACCTAATCAGATATTCCTCTTTACCTAAGGGAGGAGGCCCATGGATTTTGAACAGCCTTATTTAAATCACTGGCTAAGAAAAACTGTGATAAAGGAGTGTGTGCCACTTGCAAAGGCCTGCTCATTAAAGATGGAGGCTCTGCTATAGCAGGTTTTGCATGAGGAAGAACAAAACATCTGTGTCAATCTGCTCGTATGATGCAAGGTCCCCTAACAGTTCCTTCCATAAAGAAATTAATTTCAACCATCCGTTGTTAATTGAGTTCAGATTTCCAGCTCTCTGTAAACCATTGTTTTTTTGGGAGTAGCTGTACCACAGCTGAACTCCGGGTGCTATAACCAGCTCAAGTTGCAGTTTCTGCATGACCACCACTTTGCTACGTTTTTATCTATTGTCTTTACCCAGAGTTGCATTAATTCTTAAAATGAGGGGCTATCTTCTACAGATGCAATTCAGTACAACAGAGTGCAATGCAAAAGAATGAAGAAGCAAAGTTCTCAGCCGCATCAGTTGCCAATCAATGATTCATACTCCACTAATTTGTTTTAGTATCATAAAAGAATAAGAGGAAATTAGTTGGTTTGCCGAAACTTCACCCTGATAAGAGCAATAAAAAGGAATGTTCATAAAGTTCACTTTCATTTCCCGGATGAGGATAAATTTTGGTTTCTTTTCTCCCTGATCATCATAGTAGTTTCATTTCTTTGCTGTTTGCTAGACAGTGTATAAAAAGTCTGGCAGAGCCCTGCAATGCTCCAGTGGATTCCACACCATCAGAAGGAGAAATGTCTGACCAAAACGTCTGCAAAGCTGGTTTCACTCCCTCCGGGATCGCAGGAGGATCACTTGCTTCATCCATGATGTCCCAAGAAGCCAGAGCGTCAGGGGGAGGCGTGCATTCTGGAGGCCCTACCGCTACTCTCCAAGAAATGGGTATGGGCAATTTCGTGTGTGTGCGCTTTTGTGGTTTAGTGCATAGGGCCAAACCATGTATTTTCCTTGAAAATAAGCTTGCCAAGTAATCTCTTCTCTCCTAGATTCCTCCATTGCAGTGAAGACAAAAGATTCCTATACTTAACTGCATGTTATGAGTGGGATGCTGTTACAAGAGTTTTCTCTATATGTACATGTGCATGAATGTACACATACGTATGTGGTGTTCATGATTTTCAGGACAGTGTTTATTTGAAGTTTGTGCTCTCTCTCCATTCTGCTAGGAAGCATCAATAATATGGGAAGTCATGGTAGCAATGAGCAATGATACACTTATGCAAGAACATGATCTGTGTACCTACATTTCATATAAATTATCAGATTTCCCTTGCTCTTTACTCACACACATCCATTCAGGGAGAACCCATAAAACCTTATGCAAACACCACAGCAGAGGGAAATTAGCTGCATTCCAAGAGCTGAATTCATAAAGAGAATATATATACATCCTTGACAGCACGTATCTAAGTACTAAAATTAGGCATAGCTGGCTTTCACATGAGTTAACCCTGCAGGTGCTTGCTTTTCTGTTGCACACGCAGAGTGATCCCTGACCTGATGACTCGAAGCAGCTTGGCACTTGTTTAAGCCCAGATCCCATGGGATTCATGCACAAACTATTCTCCCTGCCAGTCCTGCCTGTGGGACCTGATTCAGCAGGCATCCTCTAACCAGGCGTAACTCCAGACGGGAGACTGCCCCATGTAATCCTGCTTTACCCAGAGGCACAGTAGTTAGCTCGCTGACCTTGGATAAAGGCTTCAAAACCCTTTCTGCCATAGGGATCTTGGACTCGCATCTCCCATGTGTCAGGAGTGTGCTAACCAGCAGGCTGGTTGTAGGGGGGGATCTCTGCCATATCGGTCAACCGCTGGTCTACCTCTTTTGTAGTAGCAGCTAGAAGTAGTAGTACTAAAGGATGGTGCTGAACCTGACTCTTCCAGCCATAAAATGGGTGGTTAGCCCGGTGAGCTGGCCAGGTTCCAGATATGGGGCATCTTCTAACAGTAAAAAATGTGATAAGCTTGATTGAGAGGAAGTAAATTATATTTTTTAAGGTATGATTTACATTGCTGCCAATATTATTCATAGCGTGAGGCTTTCTAGACAGTAAGGGAAGAAATGACATAAGGGTTATTTAGAGAGATACTGCATGTGACTCCTGTGAGGCATTTTTAAATTTTTACTCTGTAAGATTTGATCAGTGAATTTAGGTTACTGAATACAGTATTTATTGAATATTTAACAGCAAAGTGCTTAAGGGATGGTAGCGACAGAGGGACAGAATATGAGAGACAGTCAGGAGAGAAGGAGGATGAGAGAGTGACGAGCAGGAAGAGCTGCTCTCAGACACCACGCTGCATTAGCAGCAGAGATCCTGCCATGCAGGAGATGCCAGTTACTTGGTCTAACCGTGCACTAGAGCAGAGTCGGCTGCACTGTCTTGCCTTCTGTTACAGATAAGGGTGGTACAGCAGTACTCAGCACACACACCCATAACTAGTGGCAAACTCTTCAGCGGTGGTGACCTACAGAGAGCACGAAGTTGCTGTTTCTAAGCTAAAAGACTGAAGACTTGCATCCCTCCATGTGCTGAGAATATTTAGAAGAGAGAGAAGCAAAGTAAACATTTAATAACGTCTAGTTTTATTCTTGCAATGACTGCATCAACTACGGACTTTTCTGAAAACCACTATTTTGGTGAAGAGAAATATGCATGGCTCAAGGAAACCTTAGCCATGCTTACAGGAGATACTCCAGAAGAGCTTTTATCCATGTGAAAAATGCTAGCTCTGTAACATTGCCAAGGCAGGTGTGAGCTTTGGCTCCCTGCAGCAGGAGAGATTGCCACACATTCTTTGCCTGATTGAGAGCTAAAAAGGCCTGATTTCATTTCCGCAGGTGCTCTCTGAAATCTCTCGCTCTTCAAACACATCTTCTTAACCTTTTCATCCAGACTGTAACCCCTCCTCCCCCCAGAAAAAACATGCTCGAAGGAGCGGCTGATTCTGCAGCAGGGCATGAGTATTGTTCAGTATCACTCTACAGAAGATGTCATAACAAGCTCATCACCAAAATATCTGAGCATCCTCCAGCAATGCTTTAAGCATTATCACTAACATTTGTCACAGCTAATGCTTTACTTCTCTCCTAGGAGAAGAAATGTTTGCAATGGAATACTTTGCTTGGGGCTTATTTGTAATGAAATGGAGACATATGTCTGAATTGGCCACTGGCTACCACAGCTTGCTGTGTTTGAATTCTAGAAGTATCTATCATGCATAGGTTTATGCTATGGAAAGTGACGTAAAAAGGACATATCCATCACCTGGAACAGCAAGTGGTGAGATCTGCAACAGTCCTTAGTTCCTGTGGGGGTCTGATCCACAGTCCCCAGAAGCTCCTCAGAAAATTGCCATTTCAGCAGAGACAAACTGTGCTGAAGCTGTTTTGAGGATTCAAATTTATCAAAAACAGTCTGTGCAAGAGTTGTAGATTTTCTCTGTGTTCTGGGAACATTCACAAAACACTGCAAATGTCCTTTCCCCAAGGTAGCAGCTAGAAAGCAGTATACTGATGGAACAAGTCAAGTAATGAGCAGTCTCTTTATCTTTTGATACATTTGTTAGCCTTGATTTTTTTTTTTTAAACACAGTAGTTTATAATTACGCTGTAAGGTTCCTTCCAGTCACTAACATCTCCTTTCTAACTGTTCTAGGTGCCAGAAACTCAACCCATTCATCAGGTTTTACCAGCAGCGGGATCTCTGGTGGATCCCTTGCCTCCCAGATGATGTCCCAGGAGGCCCAATCCCATGGAGGTGGAACTCCCAGGGGCGGTACAACTTCCACTGTGCAGTCCATCTGTAAGTGAGAGTCCTCATAAACATGAAATAACAAATGACTTCTCAGAAGTCAGCAAGTATTTCAGCTCAAGCGTACATTTACTAGATGAAGGGATGCAAAGAAGAGAAGTGTTTCTGTTTGTTTCTTCATACTTGGTGTGAAGCCAAAACTAGGGAATTAGGGGAAAAACTATACCATAAAGTCACAAAGATATGGGTGGATAGCAGAGACAGAAATCTGAAACACACAATGACAGAAAAAGGCCAGTGAAGTTTAGGTTATGCTTTCATCAGCACCACAGTGGAAGTTCATTTTTTTTCGAACACTAATTCAGGACCAAGCCAAGAGCTTCACCTTT